CGTAATAAATGTTTTATAAACAAAAAGTTTATAACTTATCGCAAAATCCCTACATAGTCTACTAGTTTATGATATATATTTAAAGAAAAAATTTAGTTTTTTGTTCCAGACTCAAATCTGCCGGAGCAGCCGGTTCGCCCGTTTAGAGGGCTCGACATAATCGCATCGCCTAACTCAGACACTGGAGCCGCCATTTTGTAGTGAAAAAATTTTAAAATAATGTTTTTTTGTACCTTCGAAGATAACTAATAATGTACTTTATATTAAATTTTGACCGGTCTTAGTATACGCTTGGAAAAAGATTCCTAAAATTGGCCTTTATTTTGTACGTCCATATGGTGCAGGCCTTACCCTTTAAAGTAATACCACTAAGGTTTTATTTTTTTAATTTAATATCGTATTATATATTAAAGATAATGCTATTTGGATTTTCTTTTAATACATTTTTTTTCGAGGTCGTGTTATACATTTAAGATAATACAAAGGTTTTATTTTTTTAATTTAATAAAACAATTTTTTTATAAAAATATTAAAGACATTTAAAAAATATACTTGGCAATCTTTTTTTACATTTTTAATGTCTTTTTTCCACGGATTGTTTAGTACAAGAAAAATAATAATAAGAAAACAAAAAATAATTAAAAGGATAATTTTTGCATTTTTTTACAAAAAATCAAATTTTAAGAAATAAAAGGAATAGTTCATATTGCGACCGGCGTCATTCCATGACTCGTCCACATCGGCCGATACCGTGGTTGAAAAAATGACGGTGGCGGATATAGCCCAAAGGGCGAAGGAGGAGCGAGACCGAGGCGTACGGAGAGTACGTCGATGAGGAGGGTACCAACGGTCAGGGAACCGAAGCTCACGGTGAGAACACCGAGGATGCGCGGATCGACGGTCGCGGGATCGAGAAAGACGGGTGAGAACACCGAGAGTGATCAGCAAGAAAATGCGTCGCGACCAAGTGCGAGTCGCGCGGATATTTAATTGTTATTTTGTAATAAGTAGTGTTTAAGAATAATAAAATAAAAAAGTTAATATTATGTACCGTTTACTCTTTGTGTACACGATTTGAAACGGAGGCTGAAAGTCAAGAGAGAAGGCGCGCGGGCGAAAACCCCCATAAATAACGGAAGTGGAAGAAGAGGGATATAAACGGCGGAGGAGAGAACGAAGGGGCTTTTTTCCGGGAGTCGTGAAAAGAATAAGGAGTAGCGAAACACGATCGGGAAGACTAGAATCCAAGGTCTGTTCAGATCGAGATTGTGATATTTCAAGAACGAACGTATGTAAAAGAAAAGCGCGCGCGATTTCGGGGTAGCGACCATCAGCCGTGACGAAGGCGGAGTATAGGACCGGTATATCGTGTAAAATCTTGTAAATAAATCGTTGTCGACTAAATATAATTACATCTGTGAAACATCCTGAGTATTAATCTAAACGATAAATTCCTGACCGGAAACCTTCTCCACAAAACCATCAGGGGAAGCGTGAAAACGTATCCGCAGGCCAAAGGGAGGGAGCCGCTACGGATGGCAGCGACGGATCACCCGGAGCAGGGTAAATTTGGTAGTTCCTTGAACCTTGGAGGTAAAAGGTTCTGACGACCTTGATACGAGGACCATCAAAGGCGGATGGGCAGCCGGGATCCCATCAGATTCCTGTTAAAGAAAAAATCGACGGTGAGAACCCGGCCCATCAACGCGACACCGGCCAAAGACGAACGGTACGGTCTGTCTGGGGCTCCCGCAACGCGGCGGTGAAAAGGAATCCGGTCACAATATATACCATATATTTATATATGTATATTTTCAAAATGTGACCCTATTGCACGGCCGAGATGACGAATCCTGACTGAAACAATTAAGAATTAATTAACCTAATTAACAATTAACTTATCAATTAATTATCTCGGAAACGCTATCCGATGTCAAAACGACAAAAATTGCTTCTGATAACCATGTAAAATGGCAAGAATAAAAACGAAAGAAAGGATGAATGGGAGTTAAACGAGTCTAAAATTAAAAGTCACACGGTCGCTAGTGATTACGCCGGCCATAATAGTTCAAATGTAATTAATTAACTTAAACAAGTGTGTAAAGTTCAAATTACAGATTTATTTAAAATAAGTTGTACATGTAAGTGTTATTCAAATCCTTAGTCAGATCCTTGTCATTGAAGGCGCAATATATTATATGATTTAGTAAGTTAGCTCTCCAGCATATCTTTTAGTTCTTTCAAATAATCATATAATTTATATATCTTCTGTATGTCTTTTATTTTTAGTACTTTCGATTTAAAAAGCTTTTTATTTTGTTCTGTATTTTCCTGAGCTATTGTATTTATTGTTATTTCATAATCTTGTTTCAAGAGTTTCAGAAACTTTTCTGTATTCCTTAAACGCTTGTTATCATCTCTTTTAATATACTCCGTAGACAATAAGTTTCCCAACGTTTTCAAGAGATAACCAATTCGTATAGCGACAGATGGCGATTTAAATTTATTAGTATTTGGATTTAATTGAGCTACATCTTTAGCAGCTAAAATGCACGAGTCATAGTGGCGTGGATGATATATTGAAGCAAAATCATTAATGTTTGAATTAAATTTCTTAACAGAAATCAAATAACGACCTAAAAGTCTCAATTCTGCTCTTATTACTTCATAACGCGGATTCTTATGTTTTCTATAACATAATGAATTTGCTCGAAGTATCACTAATTCATCATATCTTATTATTCTACACACGTCATCGTCTCTTAAAACTGGAAAAATTATGTCTCTAACTATGTCATTGGCTTTACTGTGTACTCGTGCTTGTATTTTTCTACTAAGTTGGAGAACTCGTCTACCAATACTTTTTTGGTTACAGTTTCGAAAATGATGCCTCAAACTATTTTTTGAAAAATAGCCCTTACATTTTGAGCAACAGCCATAACATGATGCAGGTTTATTAACATTTGGTCTACGAGATACTAGTAATTCTCCCGTATTAAATTGCGAGCTAGTATTATATAAAAAGTTGCCTTCTTGTCTAATGGTCTGTATAATAGCCTTTCTTTCTGAATTACCTGAAAATCGTAAAAAAAAGTTTAAATAGAGGGATGTACATCACGTTTTTGTTTAAATAGCATGTGTATAGATTATTATATTTATTATACCTTTAGGAAAAGAAATGAATTTTTTCACGTTTGCCTCATTTTTATGGATATTCTCTAAATGTCTTGATAATTTAGATTGAAATTTTTTGCAGTAGAAGCAAAAATATTGTTTTCCTTTCTCGTGAGATGTAGGTACTACAAGATTTGTATCATCACAAATTTTTTTTTTTTCATAAATATGTTTCGAGATATCAAGACTATCGTTTGTAGTATTAGATTTTTCGCTAGATCTTCGGGAAGTAACAAAAGTATTTGCTTGATCATTATCTGAATCTTCTAAGTCATTGGAAACAACATAATCTGAAGTAGTTGCTTGATTATTATTTGAATCTTCTAAGTCACTGAAAACAACATAACCTGCATCAGCATCATAATTCTTCCTGTTCTCATCATTATCTTCTGAAATTCTTTCTGAAAAGAATATAGTAATTATGTAATGTGTAATAGATGCTATAATTATATATGTATTAGGGTGTAGGGAAAGTTCCTGCGCATTTTTAACAATTTTTATTTTTTTAAATAAAATAAATGGTACAGCTGTTAAACGAAGTATTTGCCATCGTTTTCTACCACCTTTGCTCACCTTTCAGGCAGCATACGTACGAATGCTACGTTGAAAAAATTCATCATCTTTTGACACAATCCAATTATCCATCCGTTTTCACACATCGTTTGCATTGGAGAAGTGCACATCAAATATGATCAGATAACGCATGTTGCATCGATCTGAATAGATGGTAATCAGAAAAGACAATGTCTGGTAAGTAAGCTGGGTGCGGGAGGACTTCCCATTCTAAGTCCAACAGTGTTTCCTTGGACTCCTTAGCTAAAATATGGGGTCTGGCGTTGTCATGGAGCAGGTGACTTTGCGCCGATTTTCAACTATTTGAAGACGGTTTTTGATTAATTTCCGGTTCAATTGTCTTAGTTGCTTACTGTAGCAATCTCCTGTGACTGTCTGACCCGATGATAGCAGCTCATACTTCATAGTAGGTGACTCCCTCGCTGATCCCACCAGATACACAAGAGGATCTTATGATCGTGGATATCAAAGGAAGTGCTGTTGGACTTAGAATGGGAAGTCCTCCCGCACTTATAGCTTACTCACCAGACATCGCCCCTTCTGATTGTCACCTATTCAGATCGATGCAACATGCATTGTCTGATGCACATTTCTCCAATGCCAACAATGTGCGAAAATGGGTAGATAATTGGATTGTGTCAAAAGATGACGAATTCTTTCAATGTGGCATTTGTATGCTGCCTGAAAGGTGGGCAAAGGTGATAGAAAACGATGGCAAATACTTTGATTAACAGGTACTGTACCACTTATTTTATTTAAAAAAATAGAAATTGTCAAAAATACGCAGGAACTTTTCCTACACCCTAATATTAATATATATTATACGTAATATACAGGGTGGACCATTTTAATCCATCCAGTCGAATATCTCGAAAATCAAGCCCGGGAGAGAAAAATTTTTCAGACAAAAGTTGTAGGATTTCGAGGAGGACATAAGATGATAACATTGGTTTGACA